ACTTCGAGTACTCTCAGATCTACGTGTAATGACCATAATTATTCAAATTCCTAAGCAGGTAGGGATTTTCCAGTACAGGATATCAGAAAATATGAATTTCTTGAATTTTGTTAGATAGTACGAACAGAACAGAACTTCTTCATGAGGCATCGACTGTGTTTGTCTATGTGTTTGTGTGGCCGGGTGAGGGTGAAGATTTAAGAATCAAAAGATGAATGGTCGATGCCTAGTCCAAAGGCAAAAGATAGTATTATTATATAATAGTCTCAGTGTTTAAGGGCATACGTAACAGTTTTGATCCCACGGTGATTTTTTTTACGAAAATTTGCATATAAGCTATTTTTCACCTAGTCAATGCAAATATGTAATAAAAAATATACCTTCATGTGCTTCTTTAAGAGATAAATAGGGGTGGAAATTTTAGACATTTACTCAAAATTTCGTTTTTTGGAACATTTCTATCCTTTGGATAGACATACCTAACTTTTTTGTTTCAAAAGATAAACACAATAGGATTTTTGTAAAAACATTTGGAAAATCTCTTTTACATAAGTATGCTCTAAATTTTTATAACAATTCTTTGGAAATAATTAATGTTTATCAAAGTTTCAGGATTTTATGAAAAAAACGGATTTTTTTGCTGTATACTTATCTAATTTTAAAAAATCTCATCGGTGACTTTTTCATAAAAATTGGTACAAAATTGAAATAATCTTCATACGTAATCAATCCTAATGTCATTTTAAGAAAGAGGGGTCCAAGAACTGGTTTTCAAGTTATATCAGTCTGAATGATAAAAATAAGTCGAAAATGAATCTTTTCCCGATATGTCGCAGTTTGACGTCGCGAAAAATAACATTTTACGTTGGCAACGTCATTACCTCCCATGTAACTGTATCGTATGCCCTTAAGTGCCTATTTTTTTTAATGAAGGATCGTCAATATGTACTATCAATTGACGTATATATCAATTATCCTCAACCAGAAAGGAATAGATATGAAAATACTAAACAGGATGTACTGCTTAATTAAAGGGCTACGCTGATCTACGCTGGGCAATGCATATTGTTTTTTTTTTATTATATATTTCCGATTGTACTGCCGGTAAATTCAACAGTCAGATGTTATTGTTAAACTATTCATAATTCTTCGAACTTTTCTTTATGTATATTATCATGATAAAATGACCAGTAAAATTTATGTTTTTTTTTCACAAAATTTTGCAACTAAAAATGCTGAAAACCGTTTTCCGTTTTCCATCGGGGACGAAGTCCCCTGAACTCCCTACCAGACCCCCTGCCGCAATTTGTGCTTACAGTTTATTGGATACCTTCTAGCTTCGCCCCTGTCTCAGGAAATACGTCTCGGCAATAAGTCTCGGAAGTAACAACAAGTTGCTTTTTTAAAAAAAAAAGACAATACGTGAACCTTAGAACTTTTTTATTCTAATTATTAATTCAACTGAATAAGAAATTATATATCAATGTTATCTTGACCATGTGTGTAGAGGATAATATTTTTTTTTATTGTAAATCATTACAATTTTGGCATGTTGAGAGTAGTGTTAAATATAAAGCAAGGAGAGAGAGAAAAAAGATTCCCAGACGTATAATTTCTTAAAGAATAATACGAATTCAAAACATGGAGGACACATGTACCTTCTTCCAAAAATTCATAAAATTAATCTAGAAATAAGTAATGAGGCATTGCGAACTGGTCAGCTAGCAGGACACATTAATGTTCGTTACCGACCAATCATCAATAAGTGTAACTCTCTCGCGAGAGATACTTACTTGATCTAATTATAAATATAAAAAAGAAGATGTGGTATGATTGCCAATGAGACAACTCTCTACAAGAGACCAAATGACACAGAAATTAACAACTATAGGTCACCGTACGGCCTTCAACAATGAGCAAAGCCCATACCGCATAGTCAACTATAAAAGGCCCCGAAATGACAAATGTAAAACAATTCAAACGAGAAAACTAACGGCCTAATTTATGTACAAAAAATGAACGAAAAACAAATATGTAACACATCAACAAACGACAACCACTGAATTACAGGCTCCTGACTTGGGACAGGCACATACATACAGAGTGTGGCGGGGTTAAACATGTTAGCGGGATCCCAACCCTCCCTCTAACCTGGGACAGTGGTGTAACAGTGCAACATAAGAACGAACTATAAAAATCAGTTGAAAAAGGCTTAACTCATCAGATGGATACAAACAGAAATACTACACAGAGTGGACGTGGCCGGGTACTTGTGTATCCCAACAACAAATAGACACTAAGTACAGATCTGAGAGTACTCGCAGTTACTGACAGCTAGTTCAAAGCCACTAACAACTAATTAAAAAAATCATGCATCTAAGACTAAATTATCAATTAGTACACATCCAACATCCAATTATTGAAGAGGCATAACTTTTACATTCAAGATACAAAAAAAATCATTAATAAAATAGAGTCACACGAGGTAAAAAAGTATGCATTCGTATTGCCTATGATGTACGTCAATGTACACAAATATGATCATTGATCATAATTTAGAAGCAACTGTTAAAGATTCTCAACAAAATAGATTTAACTGCATTTGTTAAATTAATTCTTAGAAACAATGAATTTGAGTTTAATGGACTGTTATACAAACACATTATAGGAGCGCCCATTGTCACCAACATGCACAGATCTGCATCTGTCTGCCCTATTCATTAAAATCTTAGATAAGTTCCAATGGAGAGAAAACATTAAATTACACTGTCAATAGGGATGACGGTTTTTTATGGTCTTCACAGGCAAATTATAGAGCAAGTTGAATAATATGAGGTGTCGACATCTAGTATGGCCTATTTAGAGGGTGGTAAAGGGTTATTTTCGTGCAACGTTTTCTGCCTTTTTATTTCACGTGTTTCCGTGTTTCGACGTTTTATTTCTCGTTTTCTCGTGTTTGGTTCGATGTGCGTGCTTCGTGTTTTCCCTTAATTATTTTCCGTGTTTCGTGTCGGTACTCTTATTTTCTCGTGCTTGTCCCGCATTTGATTAAAAAGTAAACCGGGACAAATTCAAAATCAGCCCAGATATTGTTTTAAATTATAAACTAATTAACTGGTCCCAAGATATTTATTAATAGCTTCTTGTATTACTATGATAAATCGGATGCAACTAACGGACGCTAAAAGGTGACCACATGCAGGGTCGCCATGTCCATTTATAATGACTGCATGATCTCAAAGAACGGCTGAGTAATAAGTTTTGGTACTTTTTTCCTTAATATTTACGATTTTATTCCTTGGCTTCGTTTTTTCCAGAGTGTTTTTTTTTTTCGTGCAACGTTTTTGCGATTTGTTATTTCACGTGTTTCCGTGTTCAGACCCTCCCTTTTACCACCATCTATTTAGATACCGAAGTGTACAAAAGTGAACGATTCCATAATAATGGAATTCTTGATGTTAAGTCACATATATTAAAAACACAGAAACGTATCAATATTTACCAGTCACTAGTGCACATCCAAAACACACATAAATTTAAGAGCATTACAGTGTGTGAATAATATAAGAAATTTCTACTTCTATCACTAAGTGACCACCGTCATTTGGTTGACTATCCTGTCACTGTTTGGTGTGCGCTTTCATACTTAACAAGTCCAAAAATAATTTTAACAGAAAGGAAATAATTTGTGCTGTACATAACATTTATACATGGTGCAAATAAAAACATGGGACTTGAAATTTAATGTGCATGCAGTAGTCTCTTGAACAAGTCAAGACTTTCTGCAGCGGTCACTGAAATAATAGTGACATCAATGAATTAAATAAACATTTAATTAACTTACAAGATAACTTAATTGATAGAGAATACTGTAAAAAGGAAACAGTAAAAGTTGTAAAAATGTATATTAACGAACAGTCTTTATTTTACTTGTTTTATTTTCATTTGAAACAGATTTTTTTTTATCTGATTTGTCAAAATGACAAGTGTGCATAATGATTTTATTGTTACAAATCAAATCCCAAAGCCCACTATAACTCATTATGTAGAAACCACAGCACTATTTTAAAATATCTCTCTGTGAATATCTAGAAACAGATGTTTGATACCATAGGTCGTTATAATTAAATCTTGACCATTTGACTTTCACTTGCCAGTTTATCAAAGGGTACAACTGTCAACTTTGCTCAAGTCAGTAAACCCTTGCAATGCATAAAATGTAGCTTTACAACATGGGATTTTGGGTACAGTTGTGCAGCTGGGATTTAACCCCCCCCCCCCCCTCCCTCATTCATATATTTGGTTAAATGTAAAATCCCTTCTTATACATATATTTCACAGCGAAATCATAACCCATTGATATATTTATCAGCTCAAAACTTGTGTCAATAAGTTTCAGCAGATGTGGAAATTTAAATGACAAAGAGTTTGGGATATTCAGTGATGATCGTTGTACAACAAACTGAAAAATTATGACCTATTGATATATTTCCTCTGTAAATTGCACCCCATTGATATATTTGACGTATCAAAAAAAAAAGGGACCCATTCCAGCGGCACATATGTATATACCTTCATATAGGAAGAGACACAACCCCCCCCCCCCCCCCCCCCCCCCCCCCCCCCCCTCGTGATCAGAAGGGTGATTTTCACCCTCCCACACACATCTTTAGTACCCATATCGGATTTTAAAGGCTAGTCATTGGAGATCAATCTTCTGCTATCTCTTCGGTTTGTCCTAACACTCACGTTGGGGTGGGGATTGTCCTTGTAAATGTGTTGGGGTGGGAATTGTCTTTGTAAATAGTGTTGTAAATAATTACGTTAGTGACACGTCCAGATTAGGAGTGTACACGGATTCCACTGTACCCTCGCAACTCTCGATGGGTACTCCGCATAACGGAGGGACCTACGTACATACATATGATACATGGACATTTTTGGTTTTCGTAATCATGTAATACTCCATACCAGCGTACTTTCAGTGTTCAAGTCAAGTAAAATCACCGGTAACAACAATGGCGGCGCCCATTATCCGAGTGGGTAGCACTGATAAAGAAGTTTCAAAAGATTTGTGTCAGTTTGTTATTGACAAAGCAACTTCTTCAATACAAGAAAAGGGGCTATTTACAGTTGGAGTTTCAGGTGAATCAAACACAAAGAGGTGTCATCTGTTTGTCATGAAGGAGGAAGTCAATATTTAGGACGTTATAATTATTTTTTGTTGTCTAAAATAACTGACATTATAGACAGAAAAAGATTATTTGACGTCGGAAAATAGATACAAGTTGAAGTAACTCAATATTACTTTATATATTTATCAACACTTCATAAGAGTCCCCTAAAGGATACAAAATTTAAGACGAATAAAATATTTTAGATTTTAAAAGTTTTAACTTTTAACAAGTTTAAGGTTCATCATAACAAATGGACAAATATGGCTGTATTTATGTAAATGCTCTTTTGTTCCGACGTTGGAAAGTTCCGGGCGGAAAGAACTAACTAGACGAAAAGTTCCGGAGGAACTTATTGACTAGTTACTTTGTTCTTCCTCTGGTTTGAAAGTTCAACCGGAACAAAGTGACTAGTTGAAAAGTTCCAACGGAACATATCAACTAGTTAGAAAGTTCCTTTTTGCCAAATTAGTCAAACCGAAACTAACAAACTAGCCCAAAAGTTCCAACAGAACTTATCAACCAGGCAGAAAGTTCCATTTGGAGAATTGATGCAAAGTAAAAGCGCAACATATTATATTTGAACCTTTCAAAGGGAAACCAAGATACTGATTACAAAAGTCAAAAGGAACTTATCAACTAGCCACAAAGTTCCTCTTTGGCAAATAAGTCAAAACTGGAACTAACAAACTAGCCCAAAAGTTCCAACGGAACTTATCAACCAGTCTCAAAGTTCCATTTGGAGAATTGATGCAAAGAACCACATGAGGAGGGGGGGTATTCTTCCCTCTCTTTAGGGTACTATGAATACTAAATTTGCATATAATGCAACTTATTCCGTTTTATGTGAGCTATGAAATACAACTTAAATTTTGCATATTTGTCCCCAAAGAAACCCCTTTTAGTGCGTTGGGTATTCTTGTAAATTAATGATTTGCTCTTATATATACTGATACTCATTCTTCCCCCTCTTTCTACAAAAAGGACGAAATATGGTATATTCGGAACAATGTAACTAGTTGTTCTGTTCCGCCAGAACTATTCAACTAGCTACATTGTTCCCGGACTTTTCAACTAGCTACTTTTTTCCGGAAGTTTTCGACTGCACTCGGAATAAAACAACTAGTTGGAAAGTTCCATCGGAACGAAATAACTAGTTGAAAAGTTCGGCCGGAACAAAGTAACTGACGGAACATAGTGGCTGTTACATTTACATCTCAATAACTACTCTGTGTACAGACTTACCTGTACAGTTTTGAAACTTTTAAGGCCTGGCATCCACTAGATGTGTAAAAGTTAAATGCATTTTGTGTTTCAAAAAGATAAAAAAAAATTTGGATTTTGATCATGTTGACATGGTTGATGGGCATTTTTTTTTCGTTCCTGCAGAAAGTGTAAAAATAAACTAAGTTGGGATATAATTTTGAGATGCTCCCTCTCAGGTACAACTAATTGTATTTTATTGATTGGCACGGACAATAGACAGACAATAGATATCTACACAACAATACATGAGTTAAAGGGTGTAATTGAGTGGACAGTATCAAATGAAATTCAGGTGTTTGTTTATTTTTACACCTTCTGCAGGAAGGAAAAAATAATGCCCATCGAAATCCAAAAAATATTTTATCTTTCTGAAACACCTTTTATATATTTAGGGGATGCCAGGCCTTAAAACTTTTCCAACTGTACAGGTTAGTCTGTATATACTCAGAGTAGTTTTTGAGATGTAAATACAGCCATTTTCGTCCGTTTGTTATGATGAACCTTAAAGAGAATGAATCATCAGATGGTGAATGTATTTTAGATCTCTGTGAAAACTTTATAGTAAATTTTTATAATTATGTATAATGATAAATATACCTCCATCAAGTACCAGACAATTATAAAAGGTAATGGATAAACACACTTTTTAAAGTTTTATAAGTTTTTAATTTTTTATCTCATAAGGAATTTAGGGGTTAACCCAGATATTATATATATATATAGAGAGAGAGAGAGAGAGAGAATTATACATGGCAAAATCACCACTCAGGATTGATATTGGTTCCTCGTGGTGATACAGCATGCGATACAGATTTTGCCATGTATTGATCTGTTTATTATATATTTTAATAGAATCAGATTCATGAGATATCCTTTTTAAAATAGTTCAGAAATATGAGAGACAAGAAAATTATGATTTTCCAAGCTGCAGGTTTCACAGTGACCTTTATTTTCATATTCTACTGCAATCCTAACTCATTTGCCTACATAAATGTGGACAACAATGTTACCAAGTATCATCTATTCAAAGATTATGGACAGACAAGCAGTGGGATTCCTATATATATATATATGAACTCCACATAATCGACAGGGTTGCATTTTTGCTGCACTTAATATGTGTATACTTTGACTACTAGAATCTCTTCACTAGTAGCTTGATGTTAAAACTTTACTAACATGTGTTTTCCGCAGCGGAAATATATATATGTTACAGTAAATATGTATAATTAGGGTAATTTCAAATTGTGTTTGGTCGTTTGCGCTATTTTCATGGAAAAACCTGTTTTCCATCATCAAATAGAAGTTAAAACTGCTTGTAAATGATTCTAGAACACTTCACGGGTGTTAAAATGTGTCAAAATCACACAAAAAACAATTTAGAAACTTATGTATGTTTAAACCGGAAGTTTAAATAGCTTGTGTAAAAGAAAATAAATACGGTGAGAGTGTACGAAAAATCCGTACTTAATAGATATAACTAGAATATGACTTTGAAAGTAAAACAGTTCCATCCTTGTGTAAAACATTGTTTAATATATCTATCACATTAATGTTTGAAGGATCTTAAGCTAAAACAAACCACGTGCGTCAGTATGAAACAACAAAACAGAACGAATAACCGATTACGTTTTGTAGTTTTTACATCATAAGCTGGTTCTCGGTTGACTTTTATACTTTTTTTCGTTACGTTAAATTCAAGCAGATTCCAGTTTTCAGTGAAAAGAAAGAGAAATTTGTAGTGAAGCATTTAACTTTTTAATCTATCAGTATATATTTGATATTGAATAAAAATAACATATTAATATAGATTAGGTAAAATTATTAGTTTTGAAAATGATAAGAGCGCCCTCTTCAATATCAATAACAAACATGGCGGAATGTAAACATACCACCTCGCGAAATCAATTTTTTCACTTATTACTTGCTTATCATACGCTATAGTCCTCACTCTGCCTGGCAGGTTCAATTTTGGAGAATAAAACTGCGGACTATACAAGCCTTTTAACGGTATACATAATTTCTAAATTTTTCAGGAATTACATGTATGCATAATCACTAAAGAAAATGTCAGCGATTATACATAATAACTGGAATAAAGAGACAATGAATAAAAGTTATATAATTTATTCTATAAAAATCACAAACTACATTATAAATTTGGATGACATCTACTATGAGGGTCTGAATAGGGGTCCTTCATTTCTTTATTCTTTAATTTTTAGATACTTTTTCTCTATTCTTTATTTAATTTGTCCATTATTCTCTTTTCTGCATATTTCAACATTCCATTACCGGTTTTCTCTATCCTTTATCTTTTTTTTTGTCTATTGTTCTCTTTTCTTTATTTGTTATCTATATAGCCCTTTATTTTGCACTTTTTTCCCATTATTCTCTATTTGTAAATCTCATCTAGACCGTCTACTATTGAACATTTGCATGGCTGTTTGTGGTTGTTTTTTTGCAACAACAACAAAACAATACAAAAACTTAGCCTTTTACATACTACATTTGTAGTATTAAATCCGATTTTACTGCACATTGAAGAGAATTATCAACTCATAAACTGAATACAAATTTCATGTAATTTTTGTGAGGAAATAGCTCAGGCAAAAGTTGCAATGACCATTGATCGATTTGGATATTATTTCTAGGTCCTTTTTGGTCATATATACATGTAGCTCTTTATGTGTTTCGGTACTTATACATCCTTGGCTTTCAAATATTTGGCTTTAAGGTATATCCATCTTCGCTAGCCAAGGGTTACGATCCACTTCCCTCCTCTCCACCCTTGGCGGATTGAGATAAGGGAAGTGGATCATAACCCATGGCTAGCGAAGATGAGGTATATCCAGAGGCCATACAATTTATTAAGTGTTATTTTAATTTTTTTTAAATGTGTTTAATCCTAATAATCCTCACCTCTAACATTTGTCTTTTTTTATCATTTTAACTATCAACTTCTTGGAACCCCAGAATTCCTTTCATGTGTAACACATATGAATTTCTTGCATTGAAATGAGCATAATCATGATAATATTTACATTAGTTACAAAATTAGTTTCTGCTATATCATAAACATGGTTTATCAAAGTGTAAAACAAGCGAAAAAAAATTTAACGGACCTATCACATTCTATGGGGACATAGAGATAAGGTGTATAATTTATACTCCTATTCAATAATAATAATAAGTTGTCTTTCTTCCTATAGGCAATGATTCAATATCATAGGAAATCAGGTATAACTGTCTATATTGAGAATTCGTATATAAATGTATATATAATGTATAACATTACAAGCTTGAAATATCAAGAATTCTGTAGCAAACTAACTGTCCACATTTTTTCAGAAAAAAGCAAATTTAAATGCTGAATTAATTTTGGGGGTTATAGTACCAACAGTTAAGGAATTAGGGGCCAAAAATAAGCATTTTTGTAACTTCCAGACAATAATTTGTGTGTTAGTGTATGGATCTCTCTGACATTGTACCACACGGTTCCAAATCACAAAGGGAATGCTGGGATTGATTTTGGGGGTAATTGCCTAAAAATTTTAGGAATTAGGGGCCAAAAAAGGGGCAAAAAACAAGCATTTTTCTAGTTTCATGACAATAACTTGTGTGTAAGTGTATGGATATTTCTGAAATTGTACTACAAGGTTCCATATCACAATGGAAAAGCTGGAATTGAGTTTGGGGGTAATTGCCCAAAACGTTTTGGAATAAGGGGTCAAAAAGGGGCCAAAAATAAGCATTTTTGTAGTTTCCAGACAATAATTTGTGTTCATGTGTATGGATCTCTCTGAAATTGTACTGCAAGGTACCATACCACAAAGGGAAGGCTGGGATTGATTTTGGGGGTAATTGTCTCAAAGTTGTAGGAATTAGGGGCCAATCAGGGGCAAAAAACAAGCATTTTTCTAGTTGCAGGACAATAACTTGTGTGTAAGTGTATGGATCTTTATGAAATTGTACTACAAGGTTCCATATCACAAAGGGATAGCTGGGTTTGAGTTTGGGGGTAATTGCCTTAAATGTTTAGGAATTTGGGGCCAAAAAGGGGCAAAAAAACAAGCATTTTTCTAGTTTCCAGACAATAACTTGTGTTCAAGTGTATGGATATCTCTGAAATTGTACTACAAGGTACCATACCACAAAGGGAAGGCTGGGATTGAGTTTGGGGGTGATGAATCATAAGGGGGTTCAAAAAATTTGGGGGGAGGGATTTTGTTTTCCTTTTTTCCTTTTTTTTTCTTTAAAATTTTCCATTTTAAATTGGTTATTTCTGATTTATATATAAAAACAAATAATAATGATATGGTTTGAATAGGTAAAATAAAAATTTATAAGTTCTTAGACCACACTCATTTTGTGTCAGAAACCTATGCTGTGTCAAATATTTAGTCACAATCCAAAGTCAGTGTGTATCAAGCTTGAATGTTGTGTCCATATTTGCCCCAACTGTTCATGGTTCGACCTCTGCGGTTTTATCAAGCTGCGCCCAGCGGAGCATTTTATTTTAAAATGCAGAAATCTGCTTATGTTCTTCACTGATTAAAACTGTCTAAACTTTGATTTATAAGCGGAGCTTACTCCTGTAATTTTATTTATATATAATGTACCTATTTTGTAGCAAAAAAATAAGTATGGTAACCACATTGTCAATCTAATTATACCCCATGCAACAAAGTTGCGGAGGGTATAATGTTTTTGACCCGTCCGTCAGTCCTGTTTCTTGTCATCGCAACTCCTCTCAAACCACACAACAGAATTTTATGAAACCTTTTTAGATAATAAGGACATACTATGTAGTTGTGCATATCGACAGGAAGTTACGATTCAATTTTTTTTCTAGGAGTTACGCCCCTTTGAACTTATTTGCTTTAATGTACTACTGCAACAGTTTGTCATCGCAACTCCTCTGAAACCACACAAAAGAATTTCATGAAACCTTTTTAGATAATAAGGACATAATATGTAGATGTGCATATCGACAGGAAATTATGATTAAATTTTTTTTCTAGGAGTTACGCCCCTTTAAACTTATTTGCTTCAATGTACTTCTGCAACAGTTTGTCATCGCAACTCCTCTGAAACCATACCACAGAATTTCATGAAACTTTGTAGATAATAAGGACATACTATGTAGATGTGCATATTGACAGGAAATTATGATTCAATTTTTTTTTCTTACACTTATTTTATTTCTCCAATGACAATGTGGGGATGTGGGGTATGTGAGCGGGCTCACTAAGGTTCTTTATTCAATTTAAATCCTTTAATTGCTTCTGTTCTGTTATGTCCAGCATTGATGTGCAGCATATGGGTCAATTTAAGAAAAACGTTGAATTTTCAGCACACCTATCTTTGCCCTTAAGTATTCTAATGTTTTTTTTTTAATGGAAAATGTACATGATGTAGTTGTAAGTGTTTAAATGAAAATTTGTAGGATTTATGAGTCGGAACACCAATAATAAATATGATTTAGATTTATTTTGATGAGATTAAAAGATATTTAAGTCTGAATTTATGTGGGTACAGTGTCATGGTTACACATTTTAATTGATTTTTCTATTTTTTGATTGCCTTGATATCTGCAAAAGAAACTATTTTAGAATGTAAATGATAACTCAAATGAAAAATCAAGCTTCTTTATTATTCTATGTAAAAAAATAATCTACAAATTATCCTGTTACTGATTATAGACTAACCGTTAAATTGTTTCCCCCTATGAATATGGAACTATTCAGTGATGATTTCAAAAGCAAAAATCATCCTTAAGATTTAACACAGCAATGTTTCTTGCATAACAGTATAGAGCAAAGAAAATTCGAGACATTTAGCATGTTTAGTGAAAAAAAATTAGTAGGTACCCTTTTGTCATGTCTGTTACAAACAAATTTATTAAATACAACAATGTTATACTTGTACATGTATAAAGCGCAACTACATGTATGTGCACGTGTTGGAAACCGAAATCACAGCAGAAAAATATCATCACTGTATCAAAGGGAGAAGTGATTTCACAACAGCATTCATAAATGAAGAAATATGTCTATCCTGTTATCATGAAACTGAAACGTCTTTAAAAAGTATATAATTACATATAATGGAATGTTTGGTTGTTTGAACTGATTTAAAGGTTACAATGTCTTAATCTTTGCAATTTAGCATATATACAAAATGCAATACTGCTATTGGTAACAGGATAGACAAAAAGGGTAACAGGATAGAACTTAATATGGTGATATATCGCTAACGTACATTCCAGTTACCAAAAACAAAACGAAAAAAGTAAACCAACATGCGAGGGAATTACTTGATGTTGGGTTTATTAGAAAGAGAAAAATAATGCTGAACATTATGAATTGTTATCTTAGACTTATGTTGCTGGTGGTTACATTTATAACCTTTGAAAACCAATTTTTATAGGTATTTTTCAGTACAACATGGAAAATAGACAAACAATCTACCATTACACAGAACGATAATAGAAGTTGTACTCTTGAAAACCATCTTATTGGCCATGAAAAACAAGCTTAAAATTTTATCACAACCTTTTCCAAATAACCCAAATTTTCTTTTGAACATGGTAATAGGAGAGACAAAATATTGTACCGCCTATCAAAAAATATTCTTCTATCATGACATTATCAACATGATCAAGATTGTATCTTTTTATATGCTGTTCCACAAGAATTGTTTGTTTTGATTTGCTAAGCTTATTAAAAGGGTAGTTTAAATTAGCAACTTTTATTCAATTTTGCAATTTCAAAATTCAACATTTTTTTTTTAAATGACCCATATCAGAACAGGATCAATTAAAGGATTTGATTTTGATTAGATTCAAAATATGGTTATCATACTTATTTTCTGGAAGCAACCTATTTTTGTGCAACCTGTAGCATGAAAATAATTAGACAACCTGTACTAGTACTCTTTATTTTATTATTGAAAAACATGATATGTGCTACTTTTTTACAAAATATGAGCACATTTTATCATTGTTTTATTGCACTCACATACTGCCTTAAAAGGTCATCAGAAAGATCATTTGAACATGTTGAAAGATTATTTTTGCTAATGCTTACTGAAATTTTTTTCTAATTTCTTTAAGGGATGACTGTAATATTGTTTCTGTCTATGAAGAAATAACATAAAAAATGTGGTGCACACTGAATAACATGAATAACCAGCATAGCGTGGTTATCCAAAAGTGTGCACCACATTTTTGATGTTATTTCAAATAGACAGAAACAAAATTAGTCACTCCTTATAATTTAATTCTAAATTCCAATTCTAAGGAGTAAATAATGAAAAACGTTGATGACTTCACAATCACATGACAAAATTATGTCTTTGAGCTGATAGACAAAAAACTTTCAGCCAATCAGAAGAGGTGTTACATCCAAAATTAATTTATATATATGTATAAATGCAAAAAAAAAATCTTTATTTCAGGAGGAAGTTTAGTTAAATATTTGTGCAATGGTTTGCCTTCATTCACAACAGACTGGACAAAATGGAGAATATTTTTCTGTGATGAAAGACATGTATCATATGACAATTCAGAGTGTACATACAGTTTATATAAAAGTGGACTTGTTGATAAAGTTGGTATGCCTCCAGAAAATATATTTCCCATAAACCCAGACCTATCAGGTAAGTTGTTTGGATGACAGACAGCAAAAAATATACACTTGTTTCCTGCCTTCTGGCAGAAAAAAATAGGGTACCATGGAATTTAGATTTTTTTTAAGAGGGTACCCAACACTTTGACTAAAAAGTAAAACAACAAAAATGCCTAACTCCAAGGAAAATTCAAAACATAAAGTTCTTTATAAAATGGCAAAATCAAAAGATCAAACAAACGGAAAACAACTGTCATATTCCTGACATCCCTCGGATTTCAAATGTTTGGCTTTGAGCGTTCCTGATGAAGGTAAATCCAGAAAAGCGCATCGGAAGCATGAAATTATTAAACGTGTTGTTTTCAATTTTTTGGTACAGGCATTTCCTTATGTAGAAAATGGTGGATTAAACCTGGTTTTATAGCTAGCTGAACCTCTCACTTGTATGACAGTCATATAGAATTCCATTATATTGACAACAATGTATGAGCAAAACAAACAGACATAATAGTAAAAATGTCTAAAAATTGGGGTACTGTGAGCAGTCAATATTGTGTTATAGTCTTAATCACTATTAAAAAAATAACTATTTCAACAAAGAAAGAAGAAAAATGCATATAGACACTCTATAAACAAAGTACATAAGCAAAAATGAAAGACAAGAAAACAGAAATGACCATAGCACAATAACACAATGGTGGAATGTATAAATACCTAGCCACGCCAAAAGTATATTAATTACCAAAAATGGACTGAAATAGATTTATCTCGTTTAATTTTCATAAAATTTTGACAAGATATTTTCTTTGACCTGTGGACAAGAATAGGAAAATTTCAAGAAATTTGAACTACACAATGTACAGAATAATTTCATTGGATATATAGCAGTTTGACAAATACTTATTTTGATCATTGAGAAGCTTGATTTTTCCTTACTAATAGTATGTGATTTAAATGTTTTGCTGGTTTTTAAAGAGTTAACCCCCTTACTAAGGTGTTCTGTACCCCCTTAAATATTTTACAAAATCTATATAGGGAAATGTTCTGGACTTCAACAGTGTTTAGGGAGCTACCATTTGATTTTTATGGGGGGGGGGGGGGGGGGGGGGCTAGGATGAAATTTGAAAAAAATAGGCAGGACAGAGTTAGACAGGAGTTTTGAGTAAAAAAAAAAGGCAGGATGAGACACTTGCCAAAAAAAAAAAAGTCAGGATGACAATTTAGGTTAAAAAAGTCAGGATAAACTTTAAAAAAAAAAAGGCAGGACCTGATAGAGTGAAAAATAAAAAGGCAGGACAGAGATTACAACTAAAAAAAAATGCAGGACAAAACTTTTCATCCTAGCCTCCCCCCCCTCCCCATAAAAATCAAATGGTAGCTCCCTTAACCAAAGATGTCTGGACTTTAATAGTGCTTTTCCAAAAAAGTGCATAAAATGTGTTTACTGTTAGGGAGGCAGGAAACACAACTATATTGTTTTTTGATCTCAGAAAGTTACCAATTTAGTGTTCACATAAACCCATAGCAAGTTCTTACAAATAAAAATAAATTCAAATTAGATAAAGATTCCACACTTGCATTTCTATTTTTAGTCGTTTTATGCTGATAGCCAACTTTTTTTAATGTCCTCAACATATTCAGAGAAAAAACCCACAAGTGGAAATAACACAAGAGAAATTTATGTAACATGAGGTTTATCAAGATTTATCTAACTACTGCATCTGATGCCTCATTATCTTATAAAATCATACTCTCCCTGGCTAATAAATAGATGTAGTGCTAAGTAATGACTCCAAAAAGAGAAATTCAGTACTAGATTTTCATTTTTATTTTTAAAGTCTGAAATTTAAAAATCCAAAATATTCTTATTAACAACATGTGTTTAGGATATTTACCAAATGCACGATATTAAAAGATTATATAGTAATAACAGCATCTGTAAAGTATTAATAATTTACCCCAAGTTCACTATCAAAACGAAGTAGAGGAGATTATATCTTTTTTACCTGTCCATCATTAGGTCAGTCTGTCAGTCATTTTGGTGTCTGGATGCTAAGGCAAGTATATGTACTTTGTTTTTGATTGCAAACAATCTTGGATATATGGTCACATAAATTCATTCATTATGTGCATGTCCGAAGTCAGAAGCCTGTTATTCAGTGGTTGTCATTGGTTCACGTCTTTCATATTCGTGTATTGTTATGAATTAGTCTGTTTTGTTGTGTAAATGTTTTCATATTTTTTATGTCTGGGCATTTTATAGCTGACTATAAGATATTGGTTTTTCTCATTGTTCATGTTGTTGAACATGTTGAAAGCTGTATGGTGATCTATAATTACTTATATATCTATGTCTTTTGAATTCTGGTGTCTCATTGGCAATTATACAAAAGGCTTTCTAAACTTTTAAAACACAACTATTGAAAGATATGTAATGTTGGTAGTATCTTATCATGTAATTTTCTTACTTATTGGACAGCTTTATATATATATATATATAATTGGTACATAGAATCATTGCAAGGTCTGCATGTCCGTCAGGCAGGGTTTTAACTGACCTTGACCTCTTTTCATAGATCAGTGACAAAGGTTAAGTTATTATGTTCAAGTCGATATCTCTGATGATTAGCAATTGATCAACTATATTTAGTGAATGGAATGATTGTTAGGTCTACATGTCCATCTGATAGTGTTCATCTTACATTGACCTCAAACAAACTTAAGTAAAAGAAAAACAAACATAGTACAGGTGATTGGTAAAGTAACACAATTATAAAACGAAATGTGATATTGGCAGTTAAACATCTTGAAATTCTAGACAATAAGATCAAAACAAATTACATTTATTATCAATACATGTTTCAGTTGAAGATGCAGCTGTTGACTATGAGAAAAAGATACGATCGGTTTTCCCAGGAACAGATATTCCAAGATTTGATTTGTTACTGTTAGGAATGGGACCAGATGGTCATACATGCTCTCTTTTTCCTGGACATCAACTATTGGAAGTAGGTTGAATTGATTTCTTATTGCTGGGATTGGGATATTCACACACATTCTCTGTTCCCAAGATGGCGATTGATTGTAAAGATAGGACCAAGTAAAAACAGTTGACCTGCCCCTGTTAAGAAAAAAAAACTTTAAACTTTGTCTTAAAAACTAAGGTTTCAACTCCTTCATGCAAAGTCGACCTTAGATGGATTTGGCTATTTTTTTAGGTCCTTTTGGGTCATATCATGCATATAGCTCTTCAATTGTTTCTGTTCGAATACATCTTGGCTTTCAAATATTTGGCTTTGAGAGTTCCCAATAAAGGTCAATCCAGAAATGCATTTTGGACGCATTAAATTTATACTGTGTTGATTTCATTTTTTTAAAGAGTTTATGAATGCTTCATGAATACTATAAAACATCTTATTTTCTTGATTTGTCAATGCATATTTACAATTACATGTTAAATCAAAAGTTTTTGTATTCTAAAATAGAGTTAGAAAGGGGTAAGACTTAATATTTAAAGGGGCACTAGCTACGAGATATATAAAAAATCTAATGTATGTTTTTTTTTGTTCAATCATTAATGAAAGTGAAATAGTGAAATAATAATTCGCTTTTAGCAGCCAGTATGGCTCAGTTTTGTCAAATTCAGCTAAGAAACATTGATAATGAATTATTCACTTGCAAGTGAATAATTCGACCTCATTGAATCCGTATTCATGTGAACTTCAATTTAACCACTTAGCTAGAGATGAATAACGCATGCATTGTGCATGTTCGATTATTAATAGGAAAAGAATGTCAACATTGAAAGTGAAACAAAGGTAAATCATTTGATTGACTGATTCGATCCACAAAAAACAATCTTATACAGGTAAAAACGATGATTAACATATATTTTTAATCTTTAATATGAAATTAAAGAGACCTAGACAAATCCAATTGCACAAATTCGCTTTCTATTTATATCTATATGTTTATATCGCTTATATGACCATCGGAGGTCTTCGGAGGTCAACTCGACAGTTAATTAGATGGCGTCAAGACTAAAATACACACGAAATGAAGCTACATATCATCGAGCCCATGCCCTGTAAATTGTTTATTTTATACTTTTTATAATTTGGATAAATGTTTTTCATGGTTATAAATCAAATATGAGAATTTAAGTCAAATCAGTGAACATGAATTTGACAGCTAGTGCCCCTTTAATGTATGTTGATGGGAATTAGATGTAAAAATCAATCAGATAGGAAATATCTGAAACATTGGTCAAGGGAGGGCTGTTGTGACCTCTGTATCATGGTTAAAGTTTTGTTTATGTTTAAGATTTTTGGTAAGAACCTGATAATTTATCACAATGTATATTTACAACAGAATAAGTCAAGATATGAGCTGTTCAAAATATTGTCATAAAGAAGGGTGTAGCATCCATTCGATAGGAGTCCATTGAGTAAATATATTTTCCAACAGGTAACATTGTCTTAAGACACATGTGCTTATGACTGACTCCATTGGTTCATGGCATGCACTCCTTGAGTGCAGGACGTCGTTGGTTTGAAATCTGGCTGGGTCAAATAATAAAAGAAAATAAAATTGATTGCTGCTTCTCTACCAAACAAGGTGCATTTCGAAATACTAAGGATATTCTACTCCAGGAGCTGTATTTAGCAAAACCTTTCGGCATTTGGGCCCTCAATTCTCTTCAACATTGTACATTATTTGGCCTTTTCAACTCCTTTGATTCGAGCATCACGGATGAGCCTTTTAAAGACAAAAAGCCCAGTTGGCGTACAAAATTTTAATTCTGGTCTTCTATGATGAGCTTATTTGGAGTAAGATCAGTATACTGTGTGAATTAAGAAATATTTGTGGGTATTTATTATAGCAATTGTTGAACAAAGGAAATCCTGCAAACAAAGTGCTACAAAAGTTTAAAATGCAAGTTTTGATTTTTATGAAACTTTTCCTGTCTCAATTATTTGCAGTCATCAAAACATCCCAAACATTCCAATTATTACTGAAGATACAGACATTTGTTTTGGTGGACTTTTTTTTTTCTTTGGGATAGCGCAGTCAAAATTAAATATTTCTTTCACCATTTAATTCTACAACAGAGCATGATTAAATCTGTACATGTTGTCATGCTGAATATTCATGTATAAAATCATGATGGTCGTTAAGCATCAACTCAAGATATTTTTGTTAACTTTTCAGAAAGAAATAAGATAGTCTTACTCCTATCCTCTAGTCATTTGACAGACTTGATAAATAATAAGTGCAAGATCATTTTAAGTGTGTGTCAAGCCTTGGCTGAATTGATCTTATATTGCAAAGGAATGATGCTTTTGCAAATTCTCTATTCCCGGAAACATTCAGGAGAATAGAAGTAATTTTTGGTTAAATTGTATTAATACAGCAAGTTATGGAACCTTGTATGTTTCCTGTTTCAAGACAGCCAATGCTATAAAATGTAATAGGTTGTTTACAAACTTATCATTTGGTCTGTGTTGAAAAGCTATCTCATTAGTAATCATATCACATCTCCTTTTATAGGTGATAATAATATTAATGCAACCTTTTCACCCAAACATTTCTCTTACTTTATTTAAGATTTTCTTCTTGAATTGTCCCTTGAAACTCTTTTCAAAACTTCTGTCGGTGGTTTTTCAAACCTGTTTGTTATAGCGACAAATTTAAGGCGATAAGCACTGAGAGTCGCATACATATCTGATATTAGTACTAAAAGCAGCAAAAGCAAGATTATATTGATTACAGAGTTTATTCTTTTTTCTAAAGACTCAGAAACTGAAGATTAAGTGTTGTTTTTCTTTGGTATTCAGGAAATTAAGCCTAACAACGAAGATCAGACTGATCTAAGATTTAAGTCCTCAAATGTTTATCTTTTGTCAATAATGTCATCCTTTTTCACTCTTCAGTATACCATATTAGGTGCAAACATCACTAAAATAAATATTTAAAGGAGGTATACCATGATAATAATTACTAAGCCAAGATCATATTTCATATATTTCCACTACCTTAATCTTAGTTCTTATAAGAACTTCACGTTTGATATCAATTCATTCAGTATGTGTTCGGTGGCTTTTATTTACCTATGCTATTATTTAATTATGAATTCCAATTAATTGGCTGCACATATCTGAATTTAGTGCTATCATAATGTCGGGACATTATCGAATGTACGACAAGAAAACGAATGAAATGTGTTTTAAAGTTTTAAAGTATCTCTTGTATAATATGCATTTTTTGTGTAGACATTTCAAATAGTCACAACAAGGCACCAACCTGCCAAAATGAATGATTGTTCATGTACTAAATATATTGTCTAATAAGTGAATCTTATAATTGTCTGTATGGTTGTCTGGCCTAATAAATGTTTCTATACACTTTTCTTGCGTTTTCTATTGCCTTTATTATCAATTGATTCAAAAACTCGTATGCTCGATCAAATTAAGTAAAATACGAAAGTCAGGAAAGCGTCCATCGACTCTTGTTGAATTAACAGGTTAACAGAATGTAAATAAAAATCGTATTTTCATAATTCGTAATTAATTAAAGGCTTCCTTTTAATCTCCTTATCAATTCATCTTATAGTCTTGGAAGATTTTTTTATGGATATTTATTGAATAATTCACCATAAGTAATTATAAAAGAATTTCAATAGGACATTTGTTGTATCATCCTATCACTTGTTTGCATTGTCTTTTCTGTAATTGATTTCTGCAAAAATACATGAACAGACCATTAAAATAACATTTTTCATTATTGAAACTAGACAAGAAATGATATTTCTGGTTTGACAACATTTCTTAGAAGTATGTTTTTCTTTTGTATGCTAGAAGAAAAACAACTCCCCATGTGAATTCAAATAACTTGTTGACTAAAAGAGTATGACAATGCGCTGATGTCTCCTACCTGTATTATTGCAGAATATTGTTTTCCTTTTAATCATGTTTAATGGCTCTTACATTATTAACACAGTTTAGAAGAATCTCATGGGATTTTACAATATCTAAAAAAAATCTTAGTTATTTGTAAATCAAAATGAACTTTTATTGTTTTGATTGTCTGGGCATTAAAGTAGTTCAAATATAAAATCTCCGAGGTACAAAAGGGGCATTGTGAAATTTTGAAATGTTGGGGATAGTTCCAATTGTTGATTTATGATCATTTGAATGCTGTTGTTGAACATGTTTATTCATACTATTGTTTACTATTCTTCACACCTTAAAAAAAGAGGCGAAAGACACCAAAGAGATAGTTTATCATTTTTAGTTTACATACGTGAGCTATTGCCATCCCTTGGACTCGAGCATTACTTAAGAGACATTATATTAAGATCCTCTCTGAAACTACTGAACAAATTTCAACCAAGCTTGGGATGAATGGTCATTGGGTATCTATTATAAAGTTTGTGTGTTTTTCAATCAGCAAACAAACATGAACCCCACATGGACCATAAGGGTAAACAAAAGTACATTAATGGTCTAAATTCTTGAAAACCATAACAGAAAGAGGAAATCTTACTAATAAAAAATGTCCAGAATATCAAGATCTACTTCCTTTTTCACCAAAATCATCAGATTACTGCTAAATATGAGTTATTGTCCTTAAATTTAAATTTTCTTAACCAATTTCAATAAAATTTGGAATGAACGATTCTAAGGTATTTGGTATAGTTTTTGATTTTTTTCGTTCATTCCAAAAACTTGGCCGTGGTGGCTAAAGATAGAACATAAGGGTCTAATACATTAGTTGTCTTTTATCTTAAAAACCATAATTTAAAGATAGAAAAAATCTGACAGGGACAAAAATGCTTTAAATGTAAGATATACTACCTATTTTAACCAAATAATCTCGTTGCATCGTATTAATTTTTAAAAAGTAAATGCCAAGTGAGCGATACAGGTTCCTGGGAGTCTTTTGTTCTGTGAAGAAGATGAAGAATATTTATTGTATCCAATTAAAAGGCCCGTTTCCGAGCATATACATATATATATAGTATTAATTATGCAGTAATTTTTAAGATATATTACCTTAAAAATATATGATTAAATAACTATACTCCATACCAGATGGTGTTTAAAAATAAATAAAATAGAATATTAACCCTCTCTAATACATAAAAATAAATAAACTACATCACTACTACATGTATATTTAGTTAGTTACTGGAATGCAAATTTTCTCTTATTTCAAAACAAGTACTTATAAATCTTGACACTGACATATTAACATTTTCAGACTCACATGACATTAACCAAATAAATTGTTCATACTTTGAAATATAACTAAAGTGACTTAATAAGGGAAGTTTTTACATTGAATGCATGCTTCATTAAGAATAAAACTCCGTTCCTTTTCATATGCAGTGCATTCCATTAAAAAATGAAACTCTTCTTCAACCTGCATATTTTTACACTGCCCACAAAATCTTTTATCTTTATCGATTTTTTTTATATCTACCTTTCTCAATAGCTAACTGATGAGCACTGATTCTAAATTGAGTTAAGCTTTTTCGATACTGAAATTTATTAACTTGACATAAATATGCTTCCCTTTTGAAGATGTTTTTAAATTTAAAATAAATACGCAATTTTCCTTTTTAAACATTTGCATTATCTTCTATAGTATTTTTCCAGTAAATCCTATATCTACTAATCAAAATATTTTTAACCTTTTCAATGTCAAAACTTTCCATATCAACATCAATACATCTTAAAATATATACAATATTAGAATACCAAGATGACTTATTACATTTGTGAGTGTCAATACTTGTGAATATGGCTTGTTTTAACAAATGATCCTTTTCTAAACCATTAATTCTTTGTAAAAATTTTAAAATAGAACAAATGATTTCAATATGCAATATATGTTCGCGGTTATTATCAGGTTAGAAATTTAATGTTGGCGTTTATCCAGATCAGGAATTTATATTCTTAATTGTAAGAAAAGAATAATTTAACGATTTTCTGCACTTTTTTACATGTTTTAATGCATTTTACTTTATATCGCTCATCAACGTTACAACTAAGAATTCAGTACAATGCATTCGCTACCCACACAGGGTATAGACATTTCCATGCTAAACAGTAGGGCCAATATTCCTTGTATTTGTTTAAACTTAGTAAAATAAATTTATTTTTATATGATAGTCCAATGTTTCACTCCCAAATTCGGATTCGAAAAGTTGTAACCTACCAGATTTTTGATATTAAATTATTTTATCTGAGTCTGGGTGATCGTTTTTTAAACACCGAATTTAATTCGACAAATGTGAAATGGTTATAGGTAAGGCAAAGAATACCTGTATTCCGGCGACAAATACACAGCAAGATAATACCAATACCGTTAAGTGAATGGTTGCCTCCCCCCCCCCCCAAAAAAAAAAACGTTCTTTTCCTGCAAATATACAGTAACTTGATTTTCACGATTTTGTTTCCCAAATTTATACATGAAATGTGAAACTATTTATTGTAGGAAAAGACTAGATTGATAGCTCCAATAAGTGATTCACCGAAACCTCCTCCCTCACGTGTTACCATGACTTATCCTATTATTAACAACAGCTCATATGCTGTGTTTGCATCATGTGGAGAGGGTAAAGCTGATATAGTCCAGGTATGTTTAAGTATTTTTAATTGAGCGTAGTCTAACACTATATCTGCTAGCACTTTGTGTCTCTTATCGGGAAAATTAACTATTTGTTGTCTCATTTGCTTTTTTTTGTGTTAAATAATGTAATTTCAAATGCATTCATAGCTGCATGTTTTTTGTCTTCACTTTAGATAAAGGGATGTTCTTTCCAGAGTTTGGGCTGAACAAATTAACAATCCTTTAATTGTTTTCAAGAGTTGGCTTGTTTTTGGTAGTTCAAAAACACGTACTGCTGAACCACAAAACATGAAAATTATGCTCAAACATTATTATAATATTCAAAATAATCTTTGAAGATTAAGTGTTGTTTTTCTGTGGTATTCAGGAAAACAAGCATAACAGCGAAGATCATACTGATCTAAGATTTAAGTCCTCAAATGTTTAACTTTTGTCAATAATGTCATCCTTTTTCACTCTTCAGTATACCATATTAGGTGCAAACATCACTCAAATAAATATTCAAATAATTAACAGGTATGCATAGGAACTAATTTGTTTCAAATAGGTACATTATACTATATGTTATTCTTAGCTGGTTCCTGATTTTGTGGTTAATACTGTATGACTTTTGTTGAAAAAGAGAGGCGAAGGATACCAAAGGGACATTCAAACTTATAAGTCGAAAATAAACTGACAACGCCATGGCTAAAAAAGAAAAAGACAAACAGACAAAACAGTACACAAAACAGCATAGAAAACCAAAGAGCAACACGAACCCCACCAAAAACTGGGGGGGATCTCAGGTGCTCCGGAAAGTTACATCTGGAATAGGACATATGACTGATATTTCTACAAACATTTGTAATTGTAAAAATTATGATTGGTTTGTACTTTTATTATAATTATTTATTTACACAAACTAATATGAAAAAGAAGTAACCAATGGATATATAAGAAACGTCTTGAAAGTCATTCACATATTTGGAAAGGAAATGAAAATTATATATTAATTACATTGCCGAGTAATCAATTGAAAGTCTGTATTTACTGAGAACGGTTGTTAACTTGTTGATCTACCAATTACTATCTAACAATTGGCAGAAATGAAAGCAAGATTTACAGCCATAAGTCTTTGATTCTTATAATGAAAATCAATGATTAATTAATACAGAATATGACATTGCCTTACAGTCATTTACGAACGATTTCGTTTCGACCAAAAAAAAATAAACTGATTTGCACAAATGTCAGATATGATTTGATGTTGGTGTATTGCTCGAAGATGTTGTGAAATTCGAAAATTGGTGAAATTAAATTCGAAAATTCATTATTGCTTGAATGTTGCGTTTTAGAATTACTTTCTAGCATTTTAAGTTACACATGATTTTGATTTCTTCAGAGAGTTTTAGAAGGAAAGGAAGACGTTCTTTTACCAGCTGCCCGTGTCCAGCCGACCAATGGAGAAGTAATTTGGTATTTAGACAAAGGTGCTGCATCCAAAATGAAAAACATTTGACTAAGAAAGTCAATTAGTAAACTATAGTATTTACATGCTTTCCGAATCTGTTAAAGTACACATATGCATAATAAAGACATATTTTACTAGTATATATTGTCATACATTCTTGATATTTCTTTTAAACTGCTTACATTCTCTTCCAATCTTACAAACTGTTGTATATAATCCAGATTAGTTTGAAACTTATCCCTTATGTTTTAGCATTATGATAAGAATCTTAATATTCCGTCATGGGAAATAAAAAAATGGAACATTTGTTTCATAATTTTGTTATTAAATACTGAATATGAACTAAATGAGTATATTCTTATATGCCTCAATTTATTAAGCATTTATGTAATAAACTGTTAACACAACTTTGAATTGTTTGAAGTACTATGGATTTTCTACCCAATGAATAGATTACCAAAGGTGTATTTGGCAAAACCTTTCGGAACATGCATCATGAATGCTGTTCAATTCGTATTGTATTTGGCCTTTTATTTTTTTGTTTTATGTGCGCCTGGTGTATAAAATATAAACCTTGTATCTTTGATGAGGGTTTTTTTTTTATATCAGATTATATATTTTGCAATTTACAATTTGGAACTCCCCATAGAAAGTTGACCTTAGAATGGATGTCTTGAAAGTTACATGTGTTGACCTTTGGGTTTGAAATGTTATCAGAAGAGAATGGAAAGAGGTTTTCAATATTTTATTTTTCCCTTAAAAAGACTTATATTTTGTTTGCAAAGATGCATTCATCATGAAAAACGTCTTATCACCATTTATTTAAGGATAATAAAATTTCACGCGATAAATTTTATGTGACTTTAATATTTGAATGAGTTTTGAAATTTGCAATGTTGTGTTTTCAAATCGTCTTCTTGCTGTTCTTGATACTGTTTTTAATACAGAACTATTTTTTATGCTGATTTTTGGCACGGGTAGTTATCAGTCAATCAGTTCAAAACCTGTGAGAGGAATTCTGTTCAACGCCAGGATAATGTGTTATTTATGAAATGAACAGGAAATGAATAATGAAAATTGAAACGTCGTAACGAATTTGAAAATGAGTGGAGATTAAAATTTCACAAAGGGCACTAAGGATTGCATCTACGCCATTGGGTCATTTGGTCATAGTTATTTGAACAAAAGCTCTAAAATATCTGACACCAATTTCAACCCCAAATATTGATAGACAGAACATACAGATCACATCACTGTTGCTTGCCAAGAACATCACGACGGATGCCACTAGAAGTTCATTCATAGTATTTTTGGAAGGGATCGATCTTTAGTTGTCTATGCAGTGGTTTGTTGACTTTCTTTTGTCTATTCGTTTTTGGTTGTTTTGTTTTTGGCCGGGAAGATTAGAGTAACATGTATTTTTCTTTACCTTGTGGTTTTTGATTGCATCCTTTGTATCCTCTCTCTCTTTTGTCTATGAAATAGATTTCCAGAAAAGAGGAGCTAAAACAGTTTTATTGTCAGAACACGATGCATAAGGATGCTTATTTAGCGAGGGGCGTAAACTATTTGAAAAAAGCTGTATATTTCAGAAGGTACAAGACGTGGATACTTCATATCTTGTTTACATGCCTTATGTAACGAAGTTTCCGTCCGTTAGATGTCCATTGTCCATGACCTCATTTTCATGGTTCATCGAAACCTTGACAAAAAGTTTAGTTTTTAGCTCACCTGGCCCAGAGGGCCAGGTGAGCTTTTTTCATCACTTGGCGTCCGTCTTCGTCTGTTAACTTTTACAAAAACCTTCTCTTCTGAAACTACTGGACCAAATTTAACCAAACTTGGCCACAATCTTCATTTGGGGTATCTAGTTAAAAAAAATGTGTCCAATTACCTCGCTTGCCGACCAAGATGGCCGACATGGCTAAAAATAAAACATAGGGGTAAAATGCAAGTTTTGTCTATTATTTTGAAAACCTTTATCAATAGAGAAAATCTGACACGAGCAAAAATGTACAGAAATTTGAGCTTTACTAATTGTTATATGACGTCAAAACTGTCAGACAACATCTTATAGGAGTTATTGCCCTTAAATGACAAATTTTACTATTTGTTTTCATTTTTGCCTATCATCTTGAAAACAAATAGGTTGAGAGAAACTTTAAATTGCAAAAATGATCAGTAAGACAAGTTCTACAAATAAGTCCACATAGTCGAAATCGTCAGTCGACTCCTTTTAAGAGTTACCGCCCTTTGATGACAATTTTTACCAAATGTTTTGCGTTTTTGCCTTATATCTTGAAAATAATAATAGATAGATAGAAACTTAGATAAGCAAAAATGATCAGCAAGACAAGATCTACAATTGGGACAATATGGTAGAAATCGTTTTGCCTTATATGATAAAATTATACTAGATAGGTAGAAACTTGTCCGCTGGAACAACAAAACATTTATCGTGGAGAGTTTATAGGCATTTCACATTTTCTTTGTCTCTGAATACGGACTTTTGTCGATGATTTACACAATTTTTCAGCTTTTGGATTCGACGTTTTATCAGAGACCTGATAGCTTTAACCCATTCTGACAAAGTGTCCAGTTCAACTTCTTCTCATTCAGCCCATGCCCTATCGTAGTCCTCAATTGAATCCATAATATAGTTCAACTGTATTTGGTATAGTGGATGAATGTTAGGTGAACAGGTCCGTCTGGCAGGATTCTTCTGACCTTGACGCCCTTCTACTGGATTATTGATAATTTTATGTGTATGCGATATTTCAGAAAAACCTTGATATTAAAAACTCAACATAAAATTCAATCATCATCAGCAAAGCAGGCGAGAGACCTTTTGTCGTATGCACTTTTGACGAGTGCTTGTTACTCATATATCCCGGTGAGCTTGACTTTAAGAATATAATTGAATCTAGAATATCTTCTTTAGATCTTTTTCTTGCAAGTAACACAAAAGAATGACTTCTGCTATGGATTTAAGGATAGTACTGAAACTAAACGGTCTATGTCAGATGAAACAAACAGACGATTTCAAACTAGGTTCTATAACAAACGTAATGGTTTAAGTCTTCCCATTGACAACATCTCATTTCTCAGTAGTTATAAATCATCAGCTACATTGTATTGCAACTGAAATCGACTCAGATTTTTGTCGCCGCCCCTACTCCCTGTTGCCTCAAATCACAAGATATATGTTTTGTGGTCTTATATCGTAAGAAACCAGTAGTGTTATGTGTAGGAGTAATGATAAGACCATCTTCAACGACCAACCTTAATGAGGAAATCTTGTCTTATTTTTATACCCCCGTTTACGGGACGTATTATGGTATACCGTTGTCCGTCTGTCCGTCCGTCTGTCCGTCGTCAACATATCGGACATTGACTCAAAAATGCTTTAACCAATTTGCATAAAACTTTGGTGAATTGTTTATATCTATTGACGTGAGCTCCCTTTCGTTTTTTATAAAATTTAGATTCTACGTTTCCGAGTTGTGGGGTTTTATTCATTAAAAAGGGGGATTTTCCAGTTTTCGGACAATAAGTTAAGAATGCTTTCACCAACTTGCAAGAAATTGTGGTGAGTTGTTTATATCTATTGACATGAGCTCCCTTTCGATTTTTATAAATATAAGATTTTACGTTTCCGAGTTACAGGGTTTTATTCATTAAAAAAGGGGGGATTTACCAGTTTTCGGACAAAAACTCAAAAATACTTTCAGCAATTCTTATGAAACTTTGGTGAATTGTTTGTATGTATTGATGTAAGCTCCCTTTAGAATTTTATAAATTTTACATTTTACATTTCTGCGTTATGGGGTTTTATTCATTAAAAAAGGGGTGATTTTCCAGTTTTCGGACAATAACTCGAAATTGCTGTCACCAATTCTCATGAAACTTTGGTGAATTGTTTATATCTATTGATGTAAGCTCCGTTTTTATTTTCATAAATTTCTAATATGACATTGAGAAACAATTAAACTTTATTTGTTTATGGTCTGACAACAGATTTACTAAGTATTGGACAACAGCAAGAAATCGTTAATTGAATATCAATTCAATTCATATAACCAATTTCAAGTTCTTTGACTACATTTATTCAGAAACCTATAATATGTCAAATATTTAATTACAATCCAAATTCAGACCTGAATCAAGCTTGAATATTGTGTCCATTTTTGCCCCAATTGTTCAGGGTTGGAATTCTGCGGGCGTATCTAGCTGCGCTCAGCGAAGCAGTTTATTTCTAAACGGGGTCATAAAATTTTCTTTAAGTTTCTACATTCACTAGCCGGTCTCGTATGATTCCAAATAGCATTTTTTACGCTACACGATAGTTTTTCGTGATTGTAATACATGCCTTGTTTGGCTTTACTACTTAATTAAAAACCATGCCCATAATGTTTCAAATGTGGTTTAAAAAAGGATATTTTCTGCATTTTGCAATTTTTATAATTATCAAAGCATCAATAGCAATACGGCGGGTGACACATGTGGAGCAAGATCTGGTTCACCTTCTGGAGAATCTGAGATCAACCCTGGTTTTTGATGGGGGTTCATTTTCCGCAGTCAGATCTTCTATGTATTATTTTGTAGACTGTTTGTCTTTTCCTCGTTTTCACCATTGTACTGTCGATTTTCTTTGATTTATGAGTTTTCAATATGGAATATGGCAGTTGTTATCACATAGTCCGTTTCTATGTATATTGGCGTTTGTTTTTGTAGTAGTTCAAAGTTTCTGTTGGGTTTTTTTTCCTCTTGTAGTTCATGTGTTTCCCTCAGTTTTGGTTTGTGACCAGATTTGTTTTAGTTAAATCGATTTATGACTATTGAACAGCGGTATACTACTATTGCGTTTATGTGATTGTCGCTTTGATATTTTTTTTCTTTTTTTTTCAAAGCAAAGACATCTTTGGAATCCGAAAAAACAGGTCGTACTGTATATTGAGTATTGTATACTCCTATATCTCCCCAAGTTTGTCTCAGGTTAGCATTTGTTCTTGATGTCTGCTGTGAAAAAACAACGTACGCTCTTGAAATAGATTTTATATATCTTATCCCTATATCATTTGAATGAATTGTAGCTCATTAATAAGCCTTGTCTCTACTATCTCACTGAATCAGATTATGTTGTATGAAAAAAGAAACCCTAAACAACAGTTGATCTGTAATCGTGAAAAAGAAACGCATTGATATATACGAAAGACCGGTAGGAACGGAACTATAAACAGTTGCAATACAAATGGAAGATTTGGCTAGCTATAAAAACCTGGGGCCTGTTGATCGAAGCTGTCCTAGGATTTTCCATAAGACCTCTCTTAGGAATAAATTAGGATAATGTTAGGACCGGCTTACGACATGTCTCACCATGCACATCGATGCTATCTAAGGACTATCTTAGCTAGGATGTCCTAACCGCTGTCCTAAGTATTAGCGTAAAGAAAAATAGGAATTTAAAAATTTTAAATATTTAAGAATGCATTGAATTTCACCAATAGTAAATAATTACAAGATTAAAAATTAGAAATATAATTAGTATTATCATAAAGAAAAGAAATAATATTTATCTAATAATGGTAATAGTTCAAACTTTATGAACCAAAAACAAAAAACACTAAAAATGTAACAACGTTTTATATAATAATTGATCAAATTATTTGTAAACAGCAGTAACAGTGAAAACTAATAAAACACAATCGGTAACGATTATTAAAATTGAGAATGGAAATGGGGAATGTGTCAAAGAGACAACAACCCGACCATAGAGCAGACAACAGCCGAAGGCCACCAATATATATTTTTGAGTGGTTTCATCCGAAGTGTCACGGTTTCATACTTTACAGAGTTCAAAGGCAAATCTCGTGCATCTTTTATAAAAATACGGAATACATAAACTATTGCATTACGGATCACATTTGTTTACAAATTAAACATCATAAAATATATCCTAAAGTTAGGACCATCCTAAGACCATCTTGAGGACGATTCCTATGATTTTTCCTAAGTTACGATATGTTTGATAAACGCACTTAGGACAAAGATGCGTCCTAAGATGATCTTAGCACACGTCCTAGTCCAAGAGGCCCCTGGTTTAACCCACCATTTTCTACGGAAAATACCTGTATCAAGTCAGGAATATGACAGTTGTTTCATTCGTTTCGTGGGTTTTGTTTTTATTGACTTGTCCCTTTTTGAGTTTATCTCGGAGTTCAGTATTTTTGTTAAACTGTTTTGTTAAAATTTTTAAGTTCAAACTTGCAGTTGGAAATAAGAATGTAAATATGGAACTGTGAAATGTCTTACATATAAAAGAGAGCAATACCAACTTTGGAATGAGAAATGTTAACTTGTGACTGAGAAAATCAACTTTGAACTGAGAAATGCTAACTTTGAACTGAGAAATGCCAAATTGGATGTTAGAAATGTACAGATTGAAATGAGAAGTTTTAACAACAGTATATTCTTTGAAGTCTCCTGTAGATATCTGATATTTTTTCTCTGTCATGTTAATACCCATTCCAGTTGTGCTACAACATTGCAATCCAAGAATAAATTGTGTTTATAATAAAATAAATAAAGGAACATCTGTAGTTAATTTCCTGCCACAAGGTTGACAAAATCATAAGGATCAAGGTTTCAACTTCTTTTTCATTATATTGCCATCTTTACAGTTATAAAATCAATATGATATAAGGAAATAATGATATAGTGGGAAGTCTGTTTTCTATATGAGTATATTGCTGGTCGGTTAATTTTGACTTTTACTTGTCAATACCGTGATCAAAGATAAGTCATATCAATTGATCTATTGGCCCATTTAACATAAATAATTAATGTACTAACAAATGTGAATTCCATTAAACCCCATTACCTCATTTATTAAGCATCTATACTGCTTTACAAGTAGCGTAAGACATTAATTTTTTAAGACAAATACTATGGAACAATTAAGATAACTAATGTATTAATGGTTTGAGCTAACTTTCATTGCTTTGCAATCGCAAAACCATGACAATAACAAGATCTTACGTCATTTGAAGATGATTCCCCTTTAGTAGATCACAATCTTTGTGTGGTTTCAATGTTTTAATTTGCGCTTTTGACAGTCCGAAGAATATTTATATTAAGGGATTATTCATCTTATAAAAATGATAAATAAAATGTTTATAGTAGTTTATATGGTTTAGATATTTTTCTTTCTAAACACACCTTTGAGCAGTTCGCACAAATTGAATTTGTATTGATACGGTATCTTGGTATCTTGGTATCTTTAATGATATATTTTTACTGTGGACATTGTTTTCTTTTTAGGACTGATTCTTCATGGAGAACGCAAAATATAAAATATGCTCTTTTTAGGGCTATATCTTCATGAAGAACACAAAATATCAATTAATAATAAGGCGGATAATTCTGCAATGCTTGAACATACCATTTTTGCATCAAACTTCAGTTGAAGGTTCTCACAGTAAATCAATAACCTTTGACCCTTTTGAAGCACCTGAGTTCACTCTGGTTTTGTTTGGTATCGTATTGCTCAACCCATAGTATTATATGAAGTGTTTTATAACTGTTTGTCAGTTCATCGCTTTTCTTTTGATCATAGTGTTGTCTATTTTTCTATTGATCATAGGTCTTGATTGTGCCCCCTTTCATATCTATATAATTCATTTAAAATATTTCTTTCTTAATTTTATATCTATATTATAAAATAGAATAGATAAATGGGCAATTAGGCAATTTTGAGTGTTTAGTGAAAATCTATCTTTGAAACTACTGAGTCCGTGTGTAAAAGATTAATAGAAACAACAGCAAAAAGACCGCTCACACTACCGCCATATATAATGATATCTCTGAAAAAGAAGTTGAACTGTTCTATATTTTGTTTAAGGAAGCATCTGTGTCCTAAACACCTTGATTGCATAGCAAAAGCATGCATAAAATGCAAAAAATTCAGAAGTCACATCATTTAAACCCGAATCCTGGTCGACCTTTTCGCTTTATTTATACTTGTACAAATAAAGTCTCCTGTTTTCCATCTTCCATCTAGAGCAGCGAGCAGAAATGTAATTATAACTTTTTACGTAACAGTTGATTTTTTGGTCCTATTCGCAGTCCGAGTTTATACCATTTTTATGAAAGACCAGAGACAACTTCCTGTATTTGGAATTGAAACACTAAACGTTAAAGGTCAGGATGTCAATAATTGAAGTATAAAAACAATATATGTGCATTGTCGGAAATATATAATTTGTGTGTACTCTCTACGAAACAGGGGTTTAGCACGGTGAACCTCCTATTTCGTCTTGTTCGTTAAGATCGTACAAATCATTTTTTTGTTTTTCGATAATGTATATTTGTTCCGGATCATATAAGTATTCGGACCATACGCGTATGGTCATGACCATATGCGTATATACTCATATGGTCCGACCATACGCGTATGGTTCGGTTAATTAACACGATGAACGTTGACGACGACGAGGGGGGTTTTAACGACCCTGACTACCCATGAGGGTCTTGCACGGTCGGCCCTGGCTTGCGCCTTTAACTACATAAATAAATTGATGAATAGAAATAAAAGATAAAAATAAATAGAACTTAAATAAATAAAAGGAAATAAAAAATGAAAAGTTTTAATAAAGAACAAAACAAAAGAATATAATATAAAAAAATTTTAAAAAGGAGCCACCAAAAGTCGGAACAGGAGAAAAGGCCAAGCAAACGACAGTGAGCGGCAGCAACGTTGTCATGGTACACCAGCAGCCAAGTAAAGAGCAGAGAAATTTGATATGCCAATTTGTGTATGTGAATTTAGTTGCCAAAATATTTTGTAAGAACCCAAATAGGCCTAAATATGTGTATGTGAATTTAAGAAAAATAATTAGTATAAGGTTTTGTATGTACACACACAAAAATAATAAGTAAACGATGAACGTTGAAAAAGTGTCCCATAAATTAAGAGCTTCCAAACATGAAATTTTTACTTATTCAATCATATTGTTAATTATTGTTACATGATTAATGAAATGAAATGAATTTTACTTACAAGTAAGAAATATATATAGTTAAATCATTTTACATGGTCATTATTGATTTTTCTTTACATTTGTACGAAACGCAATATGTCGACTTATGAAAATAACATCAAGAACTGTTAAAGAAGAAGTCAACTGCTTAACTCACATGGACTTTGGTCTTTGAACCTTCTTTCTTTTCTTTTTTAAAATTTGTTTTTGTGTTTTTATTAAATTAAAAGTCTTAAATAGTTCAAATTGATTTTAGTTATTTTAATGTGTTCTTGCTCCTACTTATACTATCTTACAATAACAGGAAAAAGTATGAAGAGCAAACTAATTAAATGAAATAAGTTGAGATTAGAGAAGAAATTTTGTTTCTGAAATAATAATTTAAGCACAAAAAAAAGGAAAAAAATGTCCTCTTGCGGACGAAAACGTGGACAACATCAAACGCTCTGAAAAGATTCTAGCGAAGGCAGATGCAACAAGATTCAGACAATATGTAAAGATAAAGGAATTCAGTATGTAACTTGTGCCGGTTAGGGTAGGAAAATAGAGTTTATTTGAAAATACCTATATGGTCCTTATAGTCATATGGTCCGGCCAGTTAATAACCAAACGAGTATAATATTCATATGGTCCGACCATATGGTCGGACCATATAGGTATACGCATATGATCATGACCATACGCGTAGGGTCCAAATACTCATATAGTCCGGAACATAAATACATGGTATATAAAGATATATTTCACATATTATCCTGTAGTTATTTGAATTTATAACCTTTTAGACTAATGCAATACCAGACGGACTTTCCCATTTTTTTATTTATTCATGTGATAATCGGGAGCCGTGACATTGCAAACCTAATGGAATGTAAATTATTTTCTTAATAAGTGTTCATATACCGGATATTCGAAGACAATGAGTTTTCATCATTTATTTCGAAGACCTACGTATGTGACAAAATGTATTCATTTGTTTGTTTAAGTTTATATGTTTTACATAAAAGTGATAATACTTTAAGATAATTAACAGTCAAAATAATATACTGAAACCAATTTTTTTATTCGTCTGCGAAAAATTCCCGTAGTCTTTTGAGTTCTTTTGCTATACATGTAGTTTAGTTTTCATGTCGGTATCCACCAACACACAGACGACTTCACAATAATTATTTTAACAAAACAGTGTCTACACAAATTGCATAAACTCGGTATATCACAAATTTGAATGTTGTGAGTTTCTATTTTTTGCCATATCTAATTTTGTGTATCGAACCGATACCATTCCGACTGAGAGGTTGACCAAACGATAGTCTTGTTTGAATTGGAATATTTCCCGAACTATGCCTAAACCACATATGAGATCGTTTTGGTAGATCACTGAACGGTTCCGTATCATCTTCTATTTCATGTTGTGTGGAAAGTTTACCTAAATAGTCCACCAATAAAAGTTTTCGTTTTATTTCCGGGTCAATGTCTGATGTCAAAATCTTATATAAAATACCGCTGACTTCACTTTCTTTTTCTGGTACAATTTGTGATGAAAATATTACAGGTGATACTGCAAGTAGTAGACAGGGAATAGTGTAGCAAAGCATTCTGTGAAAGAAAAAATAACAAAGTATTAAATAGACTGGTAAAATACATTTTCAAACCCGAAAACAAGCTTTGAACAAGAAATAGCAAAGACTACAACAACAACAAATTGAACGTTTGATCCATTGAATGAGGAGAGGATTAGCGTCGGTGATTCGTGTAAATGGTGGTTTTACTCGGAATTGACATTGTCGTGTTTATTGTAACCACCGACATATTTTCTCCGTTTCTAAACAAAAAGAATTGTGCTATTGAACTTTTCTACTTGTAAGCATCCAAAATTAATCTTCTACTTGTAAGCATCCAAAATTAATCATAGTATTTTTAGTACCAAATACATCCTTTTGTTTTTCAAAGATTGTACTTAATGAAATTCGTTATTTTTCTTCAAACTTTTTATTTGATTTATGCCTGTGATATTGTCAATAACAAATTGGCCTAATTCAAATACTCTCGGAGCCATAAGCAATATTTTATGTTTTAACATTTTGGTTTGTAAGAAAATTCAGGGGGTGCGATACTTTTTCTCAAGGTGTTTATATGAAGCTCATGTGTTTTGACTCGATGTAAAATTGCAATCAATCAAACACTATATAAATGCCATTTTTAATTCATAGACACTTTCAATCCAGAACAGCGCGTAGGACGCATGAAATTTATAACGTATTGTTTTCATTTTTTACAGCACTGGGTCGATACCTCTGCTGGTGGCCTATCAGTCATCGAGGGTATCATCAGCCCAGGAGTCAGCACTTCGGTACTGACATGATTTATAACAAACCTTTCAAAAATTGTCCGTTAATAAATTTTGAAATTATTAGAAACTAAGGTTTCAACTCCCTTAGGTAAAGTTAATCTTAGATGGATTTGGCTTTTTTTTTATCCTTTTTGGTAATATAGCTCTACAACTGTTTCAGTTCTTATACATCCTAGGCTTTCAAGAATTCGTCTTTGTGCGTTCCTGATGAAGATAAATCCAGACAAACGCTTCGGACGCATGAAATTTATAACGTGTTGTTTTCATTTTTTACAGCACTGAGTCGATACCTCTGCTGGTGGACTATCAGTCCCCGAGAGTATCATCAGCCCAGTAGTCAGTACTTCGGTACTGACATGATTTATAACAAACCTTTCTAAAATTGACCGTTAATAAATTTGAAATTATTTGAATCTTAGGTTTCAACTCCCTCAGGCAAGGTTTATCTTAGATAGATTTGGCTATTTTTTTGTCCTTTTTTGGTAATATAGCTCTACCACTGTTTCGGTTTTTATACATTCTTGGCTTTCAAACATTCGTCTTTGAGCGTTCCTGATGAAGGTAAATCCAGAAAAGCGCGTAGGAAGCCTGAAATTTATAACGTGTTGTTTTCATTTTTTACAGCACTGGGTCGATACTTCTGCTGGTGGCCTATCAGTCCCCGAGAGTATCATCAGCCCAGTAGTCAATACTTCGGTACTGACATGATCTATAACAAACCTTTCTTAAATTGTCCGTTTATAAATTCTGAAATTATAAGAAACTAAGGTTTCAACTCCCTTAGGCAAGGTTTATCTTAGATGGATTTGCCTATTTTTTTGGTCCTTTTGGTAATGTAGGTCTACAACTGTTTCGGTTCTTATACATCCTTGGCTTTCAAATATTCGGTTTGAGCGTTCCTGATGAAGGTAAATCCAGAAAAGCGCTTCGGATGCATGAAATATATAACGTACTGTTTTCATTTTTTCTCCATTTAGAACGTATGTTTTTATTTTTTTCATTGAAAAGTTAAATTGTCTTTAGGAAAATTTACTTATAATTTAAAAGAAAATAACTACGAATTTCACACACTTTTACAACAAGTCTATCACAGTGACATTTTGAGCAAAATTGTCCATCAAATTTTTTAAAGTTCGTGTCGTTTGTTACTTTCCTATGATGTGCTTATTTTATTGTTTCGCGTCTCGGACTTCATCCAAGCGCCTTTAAGATTATAATAGCGTATATGCTGTACTGGGTTTGTTCCTTGGTGGTTTGTTTGTTGTTAAAGGCTTTTTTTTTGTGATCTGAAGATGTTGACGTCCTTGCCCTGCAGTCTTTGTTGGATGGGTATCTCATTGGCAATCATACCACATTTTCTTAATGTAATGAACGCATTTGATTAAATAAGAACAATATATTTCATAATTAAAAAATCTTGGGATTATTGATTAACCTTATTAAATGTATGTAATAAGGTTTTTCCTGGAGATTTTTGTAGGATTAATTAGACATGGAAGATATTTTTTGTTATTTCACGTTAATGTCATTAACCGACTGATAAGGGAAGAATATTTATAGCATTAAAGTCATGTTAGGTGATAATCAAGTTTGTGTGCATTACGTTGTATTAAGACATCTTACCGTTCTATATAAAGTTTTATCGAAAATTGGCTTTAAAATGAGGATTTATTTTTAGTCTTACTGATATTCACATGGGATAACCCTCTACTCAGAATTTAAAAAAGTACCGAACACTTAAGTAAATTAAATTATATTCCTACGGTCAAACATGACTTTTAAGACAGAGAAAAAATCAAAAGCATTAAAAAATCTTAACTGTATTAGTACGCGGCCATTATTTTCCTCTTAAAATCTCCAATAGACATTAGATTCCACAAAAAATATTTCAATGTTATAACATAAACTGATGCGACTTGGATAATTATGTTTGTGCGGAGTTAATGCGAGTATGGATATATTCATAGTTGTTTATTTCAATGGTAATGCGTGGTCCTTCTTAAAATGACTTCGTTCATAAAAAGTTGGAATTTCACGACGTTGTTAAAACGGGTTTTCAAAAACGAAAGACTAATCATCCTGAATGAGTAACTCATATGTTTTTGGAAGACCAATAATTAGCTAACATGCATAATGCACATGTACAGCTGTATACAGTTTTACCTTGTCTCTACATCCGTCATACATCCAATTATTAGAACAAGGAAGCTACAATTCACTCCAAATCACGTGTTATAAAGCCTTCTGTTATTGTCTGCCCATTTTACGATAAAAACAACAGAAGTCAGGGATTTTCTTACCATTGTGACTTCATAAGATTGTTAATATAACCTTCAAAACGAGATTCCTGTTCTTTCATGTTGTTATACCTAATAGCTTTGAAGCCAACAAGGGAAAACTTTTATATTAGATTTTATAGGGTAAATAAAGGATATTTTCTTTTCTTCTTGGGGTGGGGTTCAGGATCATAAAAGCAAAGAAGAAAATATCTCGGACTACAGTTCAATAGACAAATATGAGTTCAAAATAAAAGTTTTTGCAAACGCGAATATGTTTTAATCTAGGTATTTGTAAAAATCTTTACTAAAGATATTTCAACACACACTAAGGTTGTCTTTGATCGGCATAATATTTGTAACATGAAATAAGGTATTAATATAAGTTATAAACTAGAGGCTCGTAGTAGCAAAATCACTCACCTGGCAAATTTACCCAGAAATGATAACTTTTGACAATTTAGCTAAAGCTAAAGATGGTTTTGTTTCTATCTATCTCATTCAATTTTCAAATCTTGCATAGTTATTTTAGACCAGAAATTGCCCAATAAGAATTAACTATTGCCTCTGGTGGCCATATTAATCGTCCAATCGGAACCAAATGAAATACGTTTTTGGACCTTTAATACAGCAAATATTACTGAAATATTTCATTTATCAAATATTGGCTTGCTAGTTTCAGAGCTTTCCCATAAGGTTTCAATGGCAACTATGTCTGAGTGACATCATATTTGCTAATCATATTTTCCTTAAGGTTCAGAATATTTCCCCTTGTCGTTGAAGAGAACAAGATAATTCAAAATTGCCAAATTATGACAACTAAACAAAGATCGAATTTTGACAAAGGACCTCCACATATTATTCTTGCAAAATTTCGTTTGATTTGGCAGGGAAGTTTTATAGGATATTATGAAATGCAAATTGCCTTTCGACGGACAGACAGACGATCTGACACAAAGATATAGATTACTCCAATGTCTTCTGTAATTATGCTTACCAGGTACGCTTAAGACATGAATAATGTAAAATATGTTACATATAAATGTGTTGCATTCATATTTTCAACGGGATCTCGTATGTAAAGTGTAAGTAAATTTATATATAAAGACGTCCCACAAAATATGTTTAAGGAAAACATATTCACCATTGGGAAGCCCTGCATATGGGTATAAAACGAGCAAACTATGGTTTTGTAGGACACTTTTGTAATACGCAATTGATATACAGCATATGATGATTTAAAAAGCATGAATAACACAAATATTTTTTGGTATTCCGAAGACCAGCACTGGTGAATCTATCATTATATCAATTACAGAATTTTGAAGGACACCATCATAATTCTAAATTACTTGAAAAGAAAAAAAAACACAAAAGAAAATGATCATTTCATTTCTGATTTGTTGTTACAACTAGGTCGATGACACTGTAGGTGGACTCTGAGTCCCCGAGGTTATCACCAGCCCAATAGCTAATACCTCGTGGCATGAAAATAAAGATATTGTTTTATTTAGATTTGCTGTAATAAAATTTGGAAATTATTTTAAATTAAGAATGTATCTCCCGCATGCATTGCTCTGAATCTTTTTCCAGGTTTGGCTTCCTTTTTTTCTTTTCTTTTTTTTTTTTTTTTTGTTTATCCCTTATCCTTACTTTTTTTGTTATCAGCTCTTCGACGTTTGTAGGAGGTTTTTGGCTTTCAAACGTTTTAGCTTTGAACATCACTTAATAGACATTAATTGTCGAAATGCGTTTCTCTAATTTTTGCGCTATTTTCACATTTCTTGATCGGTGTGAGAAAAATATTTCTCCTCACTAGTGAAACATCTGTTCTCGGCAAATTATTGGTCGAAATTTGATTATGACGTCAAATTTTCTTGGTTTCTTCTGAATTTCCTATTGTGACGTCATGAAAAAAGGTCACCATGCCTGATGACGTCACATATAAAGAACACAACTTTCTGCAAATC